AATGAGAACAGAGTTAAAAATAAAAACATAAAATCCTGATTTACTTGAAGTCAAATGCAGAAGTCTAAAAATCAACTCTCTGCTGAACTAACAAGATCATTTTGTTGGATTTTTTTCTCTGCCTGGGCTTGGTCTATTTGTTTAATTCAAATGAGAGGTGGAAGAGAGGACCTGGCTTTCATTGTCAGAGTCTTTTCAAGCAGGCTATGTGCTCCTGCCCAGCCTGTGGTAAGTTTCTAGCAGCCTGGAACTGATACTTGCCACGGTTTCTGGATGTTCACCCAAGCTGGTGTGTGTTGCACATTTATTTCAGTTAAGAATTAAACCTGTTAAAATGAGTGCTTTAATTCAGTTGGGGCCACACTGGCCATGAGGATGAGTGAATCTGTGGAGGTCTGTAGTAAGAGACTGCAGTGCAGGGCACTGGAAAATGTGTCTGTGTGCAGAGCCACTGTAGACACTGCAGAAAGTTAGTGCTTGCTGGATTGAATCTCTGTAATGATTCTGACCTGTGAATACAGTTCACTTGAGGGAGTTTTTGTGTTTGACCCAACCTGCTCTTTTGTTTGTCTCTGAACAGCTCAGCACATGGTGAGTAACAGCAGGAACCCCACACCCTGCTCACAGCATCTGGTACTGTCTTTTTTTGTTATCAAATGTGGCTTATACCCTTAAGAGGGTGTGTGAGGAAGGGTGGCCTGGTTCAGTCTAAGCACAGGGGAGATTTCTGTGCTGCCTTGCACCTCGGGGAGCCTGGACATGGCAGCTGGAGTCTGCTCTGGGCAGCCTGCTCTGCAGCCTGACACCAAAGCCAGGAGTTCTTGCTGGCACTTTTAATTTGCAATGCATAATAGTAAAAGGCAAAACCATTTAGCTTCATCAAAGGCTGGGGAGAGAGCACTGTTTGTAGTGTGCTTGCTAATGGCTGGTTGGCTTCTTCCTTATAGCTATTATTGTCTTCAGGAGAATCCCAGACTGTTGTAATTAATTTTGAAACGTTAATTATGAAGCTTTATGATGAGCTCATTGGGAACTCCTCAAATACAGGCAGAGCCATGTGGCTCTGGTGAGGAGTTGGTTCAGGGCAGACAGTGGTAACTCCTCTCTCTGGGAACTGCCAGCAAAAGCTCTCTCATCACCCAGCCTCCTGGCACACAGGCTGGACCCCCTGCTCCTCTGGCTGGATGTGGCTGCTTTGTGTCCCAGCCAGCCTGGGGCTTTCCCTGCTCTCCTTAGGCAGAGGATGTGCCCCCAGAGTTCCTGCCTGCTGCAAGCATGGCCCTGCTGGGGTGCACCCAGTGCTGTGCTGCCCCTGGCAGCGTGGGCATGCTGCCTCTCAGTGCCAAGCACAGGCCTGAGTGGCCATACAGGTGCTGTACTGGCTGGGCGGTGGTTGGATGACTCTCTAATGATTCTGATGCATGAGTGAGAACAAATTCCACCAGTCGTGTGTAAAATAACCTTGTAAAACGGTGCTGGCGTGATCAGTGGTAGCTGGGAGCTGATGGTGCTTGACAGGCAAGGCAAATGCTTGTTTCCTGATATCCAGCAGAGATTTAAATGTGGAACCTAATTATACTGGGAGCCTACAAGTGATGAGGTTCCCTGAGCATTTCATACCTAGGCTGGATTGGTGATGTTTCCAGGCAGGTGCCAGTGCTGGCGAGGAAGGGCTGGATTTCTGCCCGGGCTGTGCTGGATCCTCACACAGCCCCATGCAAAGGAGCACTGGGCTGTGACAGTGTCCCTGTGACAGGGGTGTGGGGCTTTTGCACAGCCACTGCCTGCTGTGGAAGCCTTGACCTGTGGTCAGCCAGTCAGTAAGTGGTTTCCATCCCAAAACTCCATGGAAACCCCTGAGCTTTCTGGCTCTGAATAGTCTGTAAAATATGCAAGGCTTGAATATTTTTCCTTTTTTTTTTTTCTTTTCTTTTTTTCCCCAAACACCTACATGCCTTGAAGGACATAGACCTGCAGTGCCTGACTGGCAGTCCCAGCCCGAGCATCCCTCCTGCCATGGCTGCTGCTCAGCACAGGTCACTCATGGCTGTGGCATGAAGAGCCTGTCATCCTGAAGTGTTCTCACTGCCAATCCTACAGGCAGCTCTCTGCCACAGCAGCATCACCCTTCCCCTCATCTAGAAAAAGGAAAAATAATTACTCATAAACTCTTTAGAAAAAAGCACAAAACAGCACAAATCTTGCCTCTGTTTTTAAAGAAAAGAAAAATCATCTGGCGTCTTGTGTATTGTCCTTGGTGATGCTCAGAGCAGAACACCTGCCACTCTGAAACCCTTCCAGGTTTCCTGCTCGTTTTTTCCAAGTGAAGTCCTGCTCCATGGGAGGAAAAGGTTAAGCGTGGGTGTGAGCAGGGCAAAAGATTATGTGAAACAGAAATCCCGGCGCTGTTTGTTCTGCCATCTGCTCCATGCTCGATCCAGGCTGTGGGTGGTTTCCCAGAGTGCCCCTGCTCCCCTTCCTGGCACAGGGCTTTGAGCTGCCGGGGCTGGCAGAGCTGGGCAAGAGCCCCATCCCCACTCTCCCAGGGAACCACCCTTTGCAGGCTGAGGCTGGGTGCTGTGGCCAGGCCAGCAGCAATGCAGGAAAGCCTTCAGCGCCTTGGGCACAAACTCAGCCAGTTGCAGGGGTGTCGGGGCTGGCACAGCTGTGCCATCCCTGCAGGGAGCACTGGGCAGGACGGTCACAGCTTCCCTGGGACTGCTCGTGGATCCATCATCGCAGCCATGCACCAGCGGTGCAGGATGCTCCCCGCTCAGCAGGCACCTCATGCCCACGTGAGGCGGTGCCAGCGTCCCCAGGAAGCAGCAGCAGGGCGGGCAGAGGCCTGCACAGCTCTGTGCCACACGCCATCCTGACAGGGGTGAAGTGTGGGAGGATGGAGGTGGTGTTTATCCCTGCTTCAGGGACAGCTGGTGAAATCACCTCGCCTCTTACCCCTAGCAGCCTTTTCTGCTCTGCCTCCTCCCCCAGCCCCCTTTTCCTGCTCTCCCTGGGTCCCCAGCCTGGCTGTGCCCGGGGCTGGGGGTTGTGCATTCCCTGTTCCGCATCCCCCTCTGTCCCCTGCCCACCCTCCCCTGTGCTCACTTGGGAATGTGACCTTGCTCTCTAGATTATTTACAGACAAAATATTGCTGCAGGCCTGGGGAAGGGTTTTCTGTGTTGTTTTTGTTTTTTTTTAAAAGTGACTGGATTCCACAAAAACGGAATTATTCCAAGGGTGTGGGGGGCCTGGTGGGAACGCTTTGCTCAGTTTGGGAACAGGCTGCCTGCAGCCATCTTCCCTGGCCAGCACAGGGATGCTAGAGGCTCCTAGTTTCCCCAGCTATACGGAACAATCTGTCTCTGGTTTTCTTGGAAAAACCCACCCCTTGTTGGGGTGCCAGGGAAGGCTGCCAGGACAGGCTGAGCATGAACTGTGGCACACGTGTAACCAGGACGTGGGCTGCCTCCCAAGATGTGTGTGTGAGCAGGCAGAGTGCTGCCTGTGGGTTAGTGCAGATTCAGGAGTGCTTTAGGTGGCTCCCCTCCCCACACCCCTGGAGCTCTCCACTTCCCCTCGCTTGGGAGCTCCTGGGTCTCCTGCTGCACTTGCAACACAGACTTGGTTTGCTGAGGACCTCAGACAGCGCTGTCACATCCGATCGGAAGCCGTGGTGGGCTGATTTCTCCTTTTTTTTTGCTTTTACTGGCAGGACCAGCAGCTGCCCTTTTCCCCCTGCTGACAGTTCTTCTGTCTAGCTGAACTTCCGAAAGCCTCATGGTGGTGGTTTCCCACCGAGCAGAGCCCTCATGCCTTTGACCTTGCACGGCTGCGGCTATGTCCCCTTGGCGCGGCTGCTGGAGGCCACCGAGCTGTGCACTGCACACAGTAATGAGCTGTTCCATCCCAGCAGTGCTGGGTGTTTGGGAGGGGGCTGACATGGGGTCCCTGGCTGGCACTGGTTTCCTTACAAGGTCAACATAAGCCTTCAGGTGCCCGCAGCCTTGGAGCTGTCCCGAGTAAGGCTGCGTGCTCAGCTTTGTTTGGGAGTAAGCACGGTCCACTGAGCTAAACTTGATCACAGTGAGTGCCTGTTTTGCTGTGGGAGGGGTTCTTATGCCAAATCCCTTGGTCTGGCCCGGCATGCAGTGTGGCTTGATCTCTCTGGAGAACGAGCTGGGGCTGCTGATGGTCTGGCAGGAGCACACTCTCCTCCCTGCTGAAGCTGGGGCTGCTGCCGGGAAGCTGCTCAGCAAGCCTGCCCACAGGGGTTGACCATGAAGCAGGCACTTGCAAAGCCATTCCCTGCCTGCTGCAGGGTTTGTGCCAGTCCTCTGGAGTGACTCCAGCTTTTCCAGCTCGTGAAGGTGATGGTCTCGTCCAGGCCCTTGCAGAAGTGTTGGGTGCAGGAAGGATGCTGGGCAGGGAGAGGATGCTGAGGGGGTGGAGATGGTGCCCCTCTCAGGCAGGACCTTGATCAGCCAAGTGCATTCAGCTGGGGATGGTTTGGAAGCCAAATTTGCGGCAGATTTGTCTGGCTGGTGGAGTCATGGGAAGTGCTCTGGTCCGTGTGCTGGTTTGGGGACCACTGAGCTATGGAGCGCTCTGGGCAAGTCATAAATAACATACTGCTTTTAAACAAGGGCAAAAATCAACAGACTTTGTTCAACAGAATTGTGAAATTTCCCTTCTTGAGAAGCCATAGGGAAGGCTGGGACAGGAAGACAAGTGGTTTGTTATTTTAGTCAAATCCTTGACTTGGCTGCAGTCAGCACATTCAGCAGTGGGGTAGAAACTCACCAGGTGAGAGGCAAAAGTACCTGCTGAGATGAAGTGCAGAGGCAGCAGATAAAGGGCATTACGGGGCTGTGCCTGTAGGGACTGCTTCTTATCAGCACACCTGCTGACTGCCTTGTGAAAGCAGCCCCTGCTCACCTGTGCCTTTGGGTAGCTGGGGATTTTTCTCATGGAGCTGTAGTTTTCAGGGCTGCTGCTGTCACCCTTTTTTACCACCTGGCAAAGCAGGAGGGAAGGGAGCACTAGGTCTCATGCTGCAATAAGGATGGGACCCAGTGGCCCTTGCTCCACATCTGCTCCAGATGCATCCATGTACGGACAATGCTGCTCCTCATTAAGGGGGTCTCCAGCACTTTGCTTCCAGCCCAGAATTAATGGCTCAGCTGGCCTGAAGAACCAAGAGTGACCAGCCCCATGCCATGCAGGGGTGCAGAGCAGCCCAAGCAGGTTTCACCTCAGGAAGGGGTCCAGTGAGGTTGCTGCTGAGTAGTGCTCCATAGTGTCAGGCTAGCAGTGTCCCAGTTCCTTCAGGGTAAGCCTGGGGCTTTTCTGGGTGTTTGTGCTCCCTTAAATAGGAAATTTGGCATCCTGAGCTAAGCATCTTCTCTACCTGGGTGTCCCAAATGGTTAACAATTCCAGCAGCAACAGACGGGTGGTGAGGAGATTGATTGCCTCCTGAAAGGTACATAAAGTCTCGCTCTTCTGCAGAAACACAACACTTGTTCAACCAAGTAAATAAGTGGTTTAAAACCCCTCTTGCAGCAGCTGACCCTACACGTGTTTATCCAAGTGACTGGAGCAGTGCCAGTCTCTCTGGTAAGTGACCTTTCCCGAATTTTTCTTTTCAAGTTGACATTTAAGAAGGGGGGGAAAGTCACAGCAACAAATGCTGTTTTAACAGTGATAAAGCTTTACCCGTCAACAAAGCCAGGAAAGCTGCACTGGAGCCTGTGCTGGTGGCTCTGCCATCCCAGCCAGAGTCCATGTGGACAGCACTGGCTTGTGTTTCCTGACCTGCTTGGGTCTGCATGAGCCAGCATCTGCAGTTTCCGTGGGCTGCTCCTGCTGCCTGGGCTGGGCTGGATAGTTCTGCAGCTCCTGGGAAAGGCTCTTGGGTGCAATTAAGTCTAAGGCAGCTGCTGGCAGCTGGAGGCACTCAAAGTATTAGTTCATTACTGCAATTCAAATGAGGAAGAGTCTTAAATCTCTGAGAGGAATCTGGGTTTGGCAGGCAGTGGAGTGCTCAGCTTATTGGGAAAACACCTTGGACAATTTTGGTAAATGTTCTACTGTGTTTTCAGGGAAGTAAAAAAGCTTTGGAGGAGGTTTACCTCTTAGCCAAGTTGCCCAGTACATGAGCTCCTCTGCCAGGCTGGAAGTCCCAAGGGCTTCACAGAAGGTTGCTCAGCACATCTGTGCTCCCCAGATCCTGCTGTCCCCACATCCTGGCAGATGTCATACATCCACAGCGTGCCACCTGTCAGCCGCTCCCATCTCCACTGGGCTCTGCAGGATCTCTAGGGCGCTCCTGCCTTTTCCATCTGCAAAGCACCTACAGCCCTCCTGGCCTGCCCCTGCAGCCATTCCCCAGGCTTTTGGCTTAGTTTCACATGGTGACCAGGACTGAGAGCAGCATCTGGTGTTGGTGTCTCCCTGCAATCCTTCCTTCCAGCTTCCCTCCACAGAGTGCTGCTAGAGATGGGCCAGCCTGGGGCCATGCCTGCACAGTCCTGCCTTGAGAAAAGAAATTGAAGCAAGGACTTGCCAGCTGGCTGTTTCCTGTAGCATGAGGGACAGGAGATTCCTGAAAGCAGTGGCATCAGGGTTCCCCCAGACCTGGGTGCTTTCCTGGCATTTCTTGCAGATGTCCTGATGGGAGTGGCTGCAAAAAGGCAGGAGGTAAGGAGGGGACAGGGGCAGCACTGCAGCCAGACAGGGACATGCTGCTGGCTCAGGGTGACCCTGGGTAGCCCCATGACAGAGGCCTGTGAACTGACAGCAACCTCTGCTTTCAGAAAGCCACTTGTTTTGTGACAAGTTGAGAAACACCTAAGTGCCTCTGTAGAAAGAGGCCTGACAGATACGCTTGGCTTCGTGGCTATGCTGGTTCTTGGATTTAATCTATCTGTGCTAGAGGAAAAAAAAACAGTAACAGAAAATCCCAGATAAGTGGAACAGTAAAGATGCTTTTAGTGAGCTGACAGCCAAGCCTTGTCTTTGCTGACCATGTCCCTGTTCAGACCCAGTTCTGCAGGCAGGGCACCACAGCCCCCAGGCTGCCAGCAGCAGGGCCAGCAGCTCACAGAGTCCCCTGTTAGGGGTGTCCATCTGCCACAGCTGTCCCCATGCCATGCTGTCCCCAGGAGGGCTCTAGCCCTGAACATTAACGTGAGGCAGTGAGCTCTGCTGGGCTGTCGCTGAGTGTTTCTTGTGTGAGGCTCTGGGGCTGCTTGGCAGTGATGGCAACTTTGGGACCTCATGCACTGAGTTCTCTTTAACCTGCCGTGGCAAGAATGCCTCATTTCGCTTCTGCTCACAGCCAGCCCTGGAGCTGGCTCGCTGCAGGGTCGGTACGTGAGCCCTGGAACGGGACAGCCTGTATCCGGAGCCTTCCTTCCTCTCAGATAACGTCAGTGCTGGAAGCAGGCAGCTATTTTGGTCCCAGGAATGCCAGCGGATGATTTCACTTTTGTTTCGTACCCGATAACCTTTCCCATCACAATGAGAGACGACGTCCGTGCTCCCTGCGCTTCCGTGTGCGAGGGGAAGGCCATTCAAGCGCCTCTGCAGGGGAAAAGAAAGAGCCAGATTTAAAATAGCTTCTGATTGTGCATGGAACCTGGGCAAAGGAAGGGCAAAAGCCTTTCCTTGTTCCGCTGCCCGGTCCCATACCCTGGGAGCAGCTTTTCTGGCTGAGCCGGGGCACGAGGACAGCGACCGTGGGAATATCTGGTGTGCTGGCTCTTTGTGTCAGCCTCATGGGGATGGGGAGGTCTGTGAGAGGCTTTCTTCTCTGTGCACAGTTGTCCTGATGTGGGGCTCCAGGAGCTACAGCCACCTGCATGTCTCTATCCATCCTGCCCTTCTCCTAGTCCTTTCCCTGCTGGGTTTTGTGGCTGGATGCTTGGTCAGGAGCTTGGCGAGACAAACTCACCCCAGGCGAGATAAGTCTGGTCAAACCCAAATTGCTAAAACTCAGCTCCAATTTTTATTTCCTGTGGGGAAGGAGTTGGCAAAAGTAACTTGTTTTTTTTTTTTTAAGCTTTCAGCCTTTGACTTCCCACGAACTGCTGACCCATCATGTGACGGGCCCGTGGTGGGGCCGCTGCCGCAAGATGTGCTATCGGCACTTTTCACCCTGATGCTCGTGTGAGGAAGGGCCCCCAGCTCCTCCCGGTCCCATGTGTGCTGGGGCTCTGGCAGCACCCAGCTCCAGCCTCTGGCAGTGGGCAAACCCCATGTGCTGTCAGAGGGAGAGCAGCGAGCTTAGGTACCACCAGAGCCCATCCCTTGTGGAGAGATGCTTCCCTGCTCCCCCAGAGCAGCTGCTTCCTCATGCCCACCCCGGCCTTCAGAGCACATCACAGGCCATTCTGCAGGCTGCCAGAGCTGGGCTCCTGTTTGACCAGTCCCTTTGCTCAGTGGGAGGTTTTTGCTTAGTCCCTCAGCACATGACTTACAGGGTGGCTCCAAACTGCTCTTGCTCTTCCTGGGCTGAAGCCTGTTTACAAAACAGTGGCTGGAAGCTGCTATTTATCCTTACATACACATTACATTCAGAGTTGCTAAATAGGCAAGCCCAAAATGAAAGTCATTTGGGTTTTCTTTAATTAGAATAAAATGCTGATGAATCATGAGGTTCTGTACCTCAAGGATGCACCAGGAATTGACTTTGGCTGCAGACAGCAAGGTACAGCAGTCAGCAGAGCCGGCTCACTGCCTTGACATCTGCTGGAAAGACTTGTTTTTCCCTCCCGAGTCACATGCTAGCTTGTGATCTGATCATGAGATACAAAGGATAACTTTCCAATATTTACTCTTCTCATCTGCAATTTCAAAAGGCAGAGGAAAAGAGCAAAAAGCAGCGTAAGGGAGGAAAACACAGGCCCCCATCCTCATTTGGTTAGTGTTGCTGTAGGTGCTGTGCTTGTGGCTGGGACAGGGCAGGAATTTGGCTGCAGCACCACGGGCTGTGCTTGTGCCTGTTGTGGCCATAATGGAGCATGTCAGTGTGAGCAGAGCAATAGCTGCTCGTGTGTTCAGCCACATGGGCATCCTCCCCTCCAGTGCCACCACACCTGTGTGCCAGCACAGGTGGGCAGGGGCTGCCTGTCCCAGGGTGACCTGCTCTGGCACAGGCAGAGGAAGCCTGTCCTCCCCATGGCTGCCCAGCACTGGCTCTGTGCCATCCTTCAGCATTCAACTTGCAAGTTTTATTATAAATGTCAAAGTGACATTTTTTATAACAATATCCTAATGTAGTCAGCCAGGCAGGTGGAGTTACTCATATGTGCTCTAGTCCAAAGGTTTATAGCAAGCCCAGCTGCAAGATTAAACCAGAATAACCCTTGAATAAAATCCCCTATATAATCTTGGGGGAATTTTTGCTAGTGCAGCTTGTGTATGTTTACTTCTGTGAGCTGGTGCCTATCAAGGACCAAAAACCCCCAGAACCACATCATGGTGCCTCAGGGGCTGTTGGGACATTTGCTTTCAGGCTGCTGAAGGCTTTGAGGGAGCTCCTGCTGCAGGGAGAGCAGGACAAAGCAGTGGGGCAGGGCTGTTTGCTTGCTGAGCCGGAGAGGTGTGTGCAATTGAGTACCAAATCTGCCACAGGCTGCATATGTGCAGCAAACCTGAGTTGTGTGTAGAGTGGGATTGCTCTGGGAATGGCAGCCTGGGATCAGCACTCTCTGTCTGTCTTCACCAAACTGTGGAACAGGAGATGCTGCAGGCAAAGCCAAAAGGGCTGTGTCTGCGTGTGACACATGATGTGTCAGCCTGACACAGAGTGAGGAACGGCACCATAGCTGCCCTGGAAAGCAGGAACTGCTTGGAAAAACAAGAAGGGGTGGATGTCACTGGGGAGAAGCAGCCAGCACAGACTGAATGATGAGAGCAGCACCCAGCCACAGCCTGGCCACAGCCTGGCCACAGCTATTCCGGTGTGACAGGCCGAGTGCCGCTGTGTTTCCAGTAAAAACACCCACCGCTGTCAGGTGGGGAGGGAGGGAGGATACCTCACCTGAGAGGGAGGGCACGAAGGGAGGGTGCCTGCTGGGTGCCTTTGATGTGGTGAAGGGTGGTTTGTGCCAGGCAGGTAGATCTCAGTGTTGTATGGAGCATGGCTGAATGGTGGATGAAACCAGCCTGCAAAGCCCAGCTGGCCCCTGTGCCTTTGCCAGGACCACAGCATTCATGAGACAGGCTTTGGATAGCTGGGAATGGATATGGTCCTTGCAGGCAAAGCTGAGCAAATGTGAAGAGGAGGTGATTTTAAATTAAAACCCAAACTATCTGTGATTAAGGGCTGTCTCCAGTAGGCACGGTTATTTCTGATTTCAGGTTTTGGGAAGTCATGAAACTGTTTAAGTCCAAGTTGTGTTTCTCCTGCTATTGCAGGGGCTCCACATTGCAGTGTCCTAACCTGCCCTCCCATGTCCACACTTAGCTCAAAAACCCATTTTTTTTTTCTGAAAAGTAAACTGCTGTCTTTCTTTGGGCAAATATTTCTGTGGCTTCTGTTGCAGCATTAGCCAGAGCTAATTAGGAAGGCTGTGACAGGCTGATGAGGGGTTTGGTGTGGACTCATCAGTGGGCCATATGGGTCAGCAGCATATCTGCCTGTGGCACACGGCATTTGGAAGGCGTTTGGATTTTCCAGACCTGGTTGACCTGTCACTGTGCCCCAGAGGCATTTCTGAGCACTGTGGTTTCCTGGTTCACTGGCCTTTTGCCTGCCTCTGTGAAAATTAGAGCAGGCCTGACCCAGAAAGCTGGATGCAGAAGTGATCAATAGTGATGGTAATTGTCCAGCAGCACTGCCTGGCTCTTGGTGTCCCAAAAGAAATAAAAGCATTCAGAAAACATGTAGGTGTTCTGGCTCCTGTGGCTGCCTTATCAACTGCAGGAGGTTTCAGCCTGTGGCCCAAGGGTTGTGGAAGGCTGAGTTTAACATGCCCCATCCCTGGTGAATGACTTTGGTTCTTCTGGTCCCCCTTCCCAGTGATGGTGGTTCTCCAGCAAGTTTTGCTGTGTGAAGCGTTTGTTCTGCAGCAGGACAGTGCTGAAGGCTCAGGTGAAGGCTGGCAGCAGGGCAGGTGCCATGGAAAGGGGACACAGCAGCTCCAGCTGTGATCCCACTGGAGTGAGCGCCTGGGGAAGGAGATGCATCTGCTCGTCCCTGAGGGTGTTGTAGACACTAGCTCCTGGACAAGAAATCAGTCTCATCCTTAAGGAAATAAACAAATCCTGAAGAACATCCTTTCAGAGCAGTCCCCTCCTGCCTGCCGTGTCCGTTGAGGACAACAAGGGCTTTGTAAGCGCTCAGGGCTCTCGGGAACCGAACCAGCCGCGGTATGAGCTCAGCGGCTGTAAATCAGCGGGCTCCAGCGGCTCTAGGGCTGCGTAAATTCAGTGCTGATTGCTTTGATCTCAATTGCTTTTATTTCATACCCTCTGCAGAGATAGACACAAGGTCACACTAATGGCTGATACATGAAAAACTTATGTGGCCTTTATTGATTTTGGAGTGATTAATGAGTCAAAGGGAAGGACAGTGATTCATGCACATGAACGGTGCCTGGGAATGAGCAATGCTGACCAAGGTGGCCTTTTAATTCCATAATCAAGCCCGTGTCCAGCTGCTTCAGGGTAGCAGCATTGCTCTCACAGACGTCTGGGCACTGGGCAAACACCTGTTTGTACGCAGTGAGCTCTCGTGCCCGTGCCTCAGTTCTGTTTGCCTTGCTTTTTGCTGTCCCTTTTGAAAGGGGACCGAAAATAGCCAGACCTGAACTCTCACTGTAGCTTTGTTGACAAAGCCTCTTGAAGCTTTGCTGCTGCTATCCCAGGTGGCCCGAGAGGAGAGGCCTGGGAGAGGTAAAGCACAGTGCCTTCCTTGCCCAGCCTCACACCAGGCAGCAGAGCACCCACAGGAGGCATTCCCCAGCTTTGGCCCTCTGGTCACCAGCATGTGTGCTCAGTGAAGGAGCTTCAAAGCTGCAGACAATGGTTTTTGAGTTGCTTTTCCACTTCCTCAAGCATGTGCAACTTCCTGGAGGCTGCTGAGCTGTGGCAGGGTGGACACCCTCCTTCTACAGCCTCCATCCCAGTGTACCCCGAGCATGGGGTCCACAACCCCCAGTTTGCTCTGTGCCACACATTCAGCTGGAAACTGCTGCAAGGGGAAGTCATCCTAATTTTGGAGGGGGACATCAGGCCCAGCTTGAGGGATCTGGGCAGTGGTTATGCAACTTTCCTTCTTGGTATTTGAAGAAACTTCCCCCTCCTGGTTGTCCCAGCTTTGTGACCATGACTTAAGCCATCATATTGCTACCAGAGTTCGTTCTGCTGGGCTCACTGCTTTCACATGGGCTGTCCTGCTGAGTGGGTCAGAGACCTGCTGCACCTCTTAGGGCCTGAGGACCTGCCACAGTTAGGGATTCATTTGTTGTTGGCACTGCTGGTGATCTTTTTTTCTCTTGTCATTTCGTTGTCTGTTCCTGTGTACATTGACCTATGTCCGTGTCCTCCAGCTCCCAGGCTGACCTCCAGAGCTACCCCAGCCCTCCATGCTGTGGCTGAGTGAGGTCCCAGCCTGCTGGGGGACACTGCCCTAAGGGAAGGGCACAGGAGAACATTCCTGGTGGCACAGGCAGGTGACAACGCCCACCCTGCAGGCGGCTGTGGCACAGTGCCCCACTCCTGCCTTTGCTTTGCCCGAAGCAGCACAGACACAGAGCAGCCCCACATGCCCCCATTCCCACTCAGGAGTGAGGCAGGTGGTTGGCTCCCTCCAAGGGAAACTCAGGGGACACAGGGTGTTGGACCCAGTGCCATCCTGCTGACCATGGCACAGTAGGAGAGGGTGGGGAGCATCATGGGGAGGCACACAGAAAAACACTGTGCTCCCAAGTTAGCTACTAGGCCAGGTTGGTTTTCCTGTTTACTCCTTAGGTGGAAAATAGGAAGGGAGTGAAAAACCTCATCCTCTTGGCTATATAAAGGTCTTGTTGTGTGGGCACAGAAATTTTACCTTCTTTTAGTTTTTTTGCCTTGGTGTTACCAGGTGTGTGGTGTGGGCTGTAGTGTCAGTAAAGCAAATAAAAGGGGATGCTGGGAATAGCAGCTGCTCTGCAGGAGATGTTTCCTCTTGGAGAAATTGACTCCTTCGCTGGTCTGCTGCTGAGCACCTGCACTGGGGTTCTGCAAAGCATGAGGGTCACAGAGGGTCAGGCAGGGCTTGTGTTGCTTGTGCTGGGGACACACAGAGCTCCAGGGACACCTGGCACTCCCAGCTGATAGCTGCTCACGTCTCAAAAAAAGGGTGGAAGGTGAAGAAATCGTATTATCCCTACAGCAAATTGTGGGTAGGTTGCCATGAAAAGGTTGGCTGGCAGGCTTGGCCAGCAGGAGTGAGAGGTCAGAGCAGATAAGACATTGCCACGTCAGGAAACTGTTTTGAGTTTACAGCATCAGGATGTGTTATGGGGATCTTAAACCCTGTGATCCCAGAGATGTTGCTAAACCTCATTTGCCTTGGATTGTTTGTCCAAAAAGATACCAAGAGATGAACTCTTTCTTCCCTTCATAATTGCCCATAATCTTATCTGAAGCCTCTGAAGTATCCAAGAAACTTCTCAAGGGGATAACATGGAGATAACTACCAAACAAAAAAGAAGTTCAAGAGCAGCTATTTCTGAGGTCTGCTGGGGAATAGCACCAGTTTCTTGCCCAGCTTTGGTCATCCTTACTTGTCACAAAGAGAAGGAAAGGATGCCCAGAGGTGTCCTAATCTTGCTTTGGCAGTGATTGGCCTTTCTTGGCCCCTTGCTCCTCTGAGATAGCTGAAGCTGTTTTGAGGAGTAAAGTCTCAAAGCTGCTTTAGGTAATTACTAGAAAATATTGCTGCATGGGAGCTGCAGCCCATGGCTCAGCTGTCCAGCTGCCTTGGCCAGTGGGGTTCGACTTGTCTCACCAAAGGGTGTTTTTGGTGTGTTTGTGCTGTGGGCTTATGGATCCCCTTCAGGCAAGGGGCTTGCTGATAGATCTGGTGGTGGTTTCAAGGTACCTTTTACTTCACTGGGTTTGTGGCTTCTCACTTGAGAGACAAGCATCTAATCATCTCACCATGATTTAGAAAAGTATGTGCAATTGTAAAAAGGATCTTCCAAACATATTATTTCCTTTAAAATTCAGTTCAGTGTCTGTGTCTGACTAGTCTTCCCATAACATTTACTGCCCGACCTGTTCTGGAGTCAGGACCTGGATTCTGTGTTAATTATGGTGGCTTCATCCAGTTAATTGATTTAAAATGTGACATTTCAAAGAGAGAAGAAAAAATTCTTGTCTGACAAAGTGTCTCCCTGATGCTGGTTCATGGCTTAGATACGGTTTTCAGAGATGTGAGTTGGCCAGGTTTTGCCACTGTTTTTATGTGCTATGTGACCTTTTGTGTCATTCTGGTTCCCAGTCAAAATGCAATACCAAGTAAGAGCTGTACCAAATGTGAGCATCCTGTGTCAGCACCACAGCAAGTTACTGTGACAAGATCTATTTTATGTAAATCTTTCTTGATTAGCAAAATAAACTGTTTAAGGGAGTAGAGCTAAGTTAATCAAGCCATGCCTTGGCTCTGGGTCTTGGTGATTTGCCTCTAGAATTGTCCTGTTTACTCCTTCAAAATACTGGCTTCTCAGCTTTCTTTTGGATGAGTCCTCCAGCAGCTGGAGCTAGGGCAGGACACACATCCACTCCATGCCATTGGTGTGTCCTCAGTTAGTGCAACATGTATTTTAGAAGTTAATAAAAGGGGAGATGAAGGGTACTTCAATGTCAGGTTCTCCCAAGCAAAGCAAAGTAATGGGGCAAATGAACACTTCACTACTCCACTGTAGCGGTCTCATTAATACAGACCAGTTCACAGTCGGTAAAGACACTCTGTCAAAGCAAATTGATTTTTTCTACTGTTTTGTTCACCCACTGCAAGGCTTTGGGCACTGCCAGCAGGGCTTTTCCCTGGCTCTTTAGTGTGTGTTTTGCTTCCCAGCACTCAGCCCCTGGGGTTCCTTGCTGGCCTGGCTGCAGGGCTCTGCCCCCAGCCCTGCTCCCGAGGCACTCACGGTTCAGGTCACCCCATGGCAGCACTGCTGCACCCCAGGAGCAGGTCCCAGAGGAAGGCCAGCAGCCCCAGGAGGTGGCCAAGGGCTGGTGTGGGTGGCAGGGCTCTCCCTGTGCCCTGGCAGCGCAGGGACGGGCGTGGGGCAGCTACAGCCCTTGGCCTGACTCTGCCAAACCTCACATCCATGGCCTGCGTGCACAGGCTGCCCCAGTTCGCCCGGGGGTTACCACACATTTTTGTCATGCTTGCAAAACGCTGTTACCACAGATTGCAAAAAACAACCTCATCCTCATCTGATCAGAGCGAAACCAGCACAGCTCTGCTCGACGTCTCCAGCATGTCCGGTCCTCTGCGTGCTCCTGCAGGCACACAGCTATTGCTCAGACATGCTTTCATTTGCTGCTTTCAGGTGTTTTCTCCTCTGCAGACTCTGTGGCCTGTGAAAATGGCTGGTGAGCACTGGGTGCTTGCTGCCACAGTTACTGGCCATAGCACTGCCTTTTGCTGAGGGCTGATGTGGCCTTTCCGAGCACAGATGGCTGCAGTAAAGCTGAAGGTGTTGGGGAGTCTCTGTTGGGCTCTTCCTGAGCAGAACATGGGGGCTGCCACCAGCATCCTGCGCACAGAGGCGTGGCTGGGGCTGGCTGAGAAGCCCAGCCCAGGCTTGTGCCACCAGGTGGGAAGCTCTCCCTCAGGTCACCCTGTCCTGACAGGGCAAAATGAGCAGGGCACCCACTGTCTCCCCACTGCCAGCACCCAGGCTCCACCTGACAGCTCCTTCCATCCCAAGAGCTCCTCCTGACCTTGCCCTTGTCTCTGCAGGAACAGCCATGTGCTGAATGGGAGGCTGCAGCATGCAGGCACTGGGAGACTCTGGGCATTCCCAGGAGCAGAGCTGCTGGTGAAAGTAATATATTTAACAGTAACTACAAGTCCTGGAGGCTCTTTAACCTGTGTGGGGAACAGCTTAGCAGCACCAGTCCTCATGACAGACCACTTCTGTCTGTTGCTGGGCTGTGGCGTGGCTGGGAGCCCATACAAAATGCTGAGGAGCACTCCCAATTTCTTACACTAGAGCTTACCAGGTGGGTTTGGCTGTGAGCCAAGCTGGAGCTCAGCCCCTTCCAGAGCCTGATGGCAATGCTCTGGGTGTGGCTGGGCAGTCCATGGGTGCTGGGAAGAGCTCGGGTAACAGGCACAAAAAGTGGGGGTGTCCCAAGATGCTGTAATGAACTGCAGCCCTGAGTTAGAGCCGTGCTCTGCCTTCACCCATGAAATGCAGCAGGGCAGAATTACCCCATCGGTCCCACTGCCACCACAGTGTCAGGGTGTCTGCAGAGCCATCAGCTGGGGACACAGGGCCACAGATCTCTGCCTTAGAGTGCCGTGTCATATGCTGGGATCGTATGGTTCATCTTGTGCCAGTAATCAAAATGTCAGGGCATAAAAGTTCTTTGGCAATGCTAAAGGCAAAACGTCAGGAAAAAATTCTCCTTCCCTTACTCCATAAAAGCTCAGCATTGTGCAGATGATCTAAAACTGTTTTGAAGTGCTAAAGGTTGTCTGGACTGTAAGTGTTTTATATTGGGGACAGGGATCTCCTGTGTCTAAAATAGATGAGACACTTCAGAGGGGAGCCTTTAGTCTTTCCAGACAAGAGAGACAAGACATACAGCAGAGCCCTACTATTGTCGGAGGCTGGCTGTAGGAAAAGCAACTGCAAATGGCCAGTCTTGATATTCATTCCCACCTGTCACCTGTGTCAGCTCACTTATGGGGACACCAGAGGGCAACTAAATGAGGACAGCACTTTGGTATTACACGGCAGCTGGAGCAGCAGCTGAGTGAGGGCATTACAAGGCTTCAAACACCTCCAGTCTTGGCAGAGCTGCCCTGCGAGGGTGGGACACATCACCCCGTGATTGGGCTTCCCAGCAGCACGGCTTCCCGTGGGCTCAGCCACCGCCTGGCCCTCCATCCCTGCCTCCCTCCATCCCTCCATCCCTGCCTCCCTCCACCCCTCCATCCCTGCGTCCCTCCATCCCTGCCTCCCTCCACCCCTCCATCCCTGCGTCCCTCCATCCCTGCCTCCCTCCNCTGCCTGTTCCTGCCTGTCCCTGCCTGTTCCTGCCTGTTCCTGCCCGTCCCTGCCTGTTCCTGCCTGTCCCTGCCCGTCCCTGCCTGTCCCTGCCTGTCCCTGCCCGTCCCTGCCCGTCCCTGCCCGTCCCTGCCTGTCCCTGCCTGTCCCTGCCTGTCCCTGCCTGTCCCTGCCTGTCCCTGCCTGTCCCTGCCTGTCCCTGCCTGTCCCTGCCTGTCCCTGCCTGTCCCTGCCAGCCTCGGGCTCGCTGGGCACGGCCGCTCCACAGAGCTGATGGTTAACTTGGCGTGGGGGAGTAGCTGCAGGGTCACAGAAGTCATTCTTTGCAGGAAAGTTGTAATAAATGACTGGGTTTCATCTCATTTGAACTGGAACAAATCAAAACCCTCCCACCCCCAGAGCAGAATGCAGCACCGTGGGTTTATGGCGATGCTGATTCCGCAGCGCTGCGTGAGCGTGGAGAGAGCCGAGGGGGAGGGAGAAGCTGCTGGGGCTCCCTGAAGCACGGAGGCCATGGCATCACCCCTGTCAGCAAAATCCCACCGAAAACCAACCCTCCCAGCCGCCCCAGCTAACACTCTCCTCCTGAGAAAGGGCTAATCTTTACATGCCTCAGCCTTTCCCAACACATCCTGGTTCACAAGTTCAGCGGCTTCAAAGTTAGGTCTGATCATTAACCCTGAGAGACTGGAGATTACTGGAGCGTTTAAACTGCATGTTTGAGAGGGCTGAGAAGCACAAATCTGTGCCCAAATCCCAAGACAATCTTCATGAGGCAGATGGAGGGGGCTGGTTCAGCTGTGTGGTGCCTGCACATTGTGTAGGTTTGTGTCTTCATTTCTTTTTAAAGCTGCTTCTGAGCAGCTGATGTTTCAAACATAGTCATGGATTTTGGGTGTATCTGCCCATGTGGTCTGTGGTGACTATGGCTGGGCTTACTGTTCCCATGGACTTCTGTAAGGAGATGAGAGGGTCACAGTTCTTCATTTTTGACAAAGACTTTATGAAAATTGCTCTTTTCTTGTGCATTTTCTCTGTTACTTGTATTCTTGATATGACGGGTACAGAAGAAAAAGCTGTTTGTGACCACATTACACACAAAAACAGCAGCAGCAGGCAGAAGCTGCATCTATGGTGGAGCTAGTTTTCAGTTTGTTGTTTCCATGGGGTGGCTTTTGATGTCAGAATCACAGGAAAACATAGGTTGGAAGAGGTCTCCTGAGGCCACCTGGCCCTCCCTCCTGCTCAGTGTGAGTCCAGCTCCACTGGGCTGCTCAGCAGCAGTGAGCCCCTTAGTGTGATCTGCAGCAGTGTCACAGCAATTTTGGAAGGATCTGAATGAGCACTGAGGAGCAAAATCATTGGTATTCTCCTTGATGGGATTTAATCTTAATGCAGCTCATTAGTCTTCAAGGGTGGAAGTCTTGAACCTGATGGTGCCAAAGGATTAACCTAAATTTCAATTCTGTAGGTATGGCCTCACAAAATGGGAGGTGAAGGTCACATAGTGAAGGAAGCCTGTGAACACAGCCCTGTCTGTAACACTGGAGCTCCTGTGAGCAGAGGTCAAGCCCCAGGTGTCCCCAGGGCAAAGCTGGCAGAGGGCTGAGGGTCCTGCTGGTGCTGATGCTCCTGAGGGTCAGCAAGGGATCTGCTCCTGGCAAAGTGGAGCCCTCATCTCATCCTTAAGGAGAAGCTGCCGAAGGAACCAGAATCAAGCACGAGCTGAGGTTGATGCTGGTTTTATTTTTCACCTGTTTGTATTGCTGCTACCTGGCAAACTGGGATCAGTGGGTAAAGCTGGATCCTGCAGCACAGACACCCTGCTGGGGCAGGCTGGGAAGGTGAGCTGATGGGCCAGGGGCTGCTCAGGGGGCGAGAGGCCGTCCCAGCTGCACATGGAGGCACCGTCTCTCCTGCAAGCTCTGCTCCCAGGCTGGGGATGGCAGGACTTGTCCCAAGCCTGGCCAGTGCCTGGATGGCAGCGGGCTGCCCGCCAGCCTGCAGAGCACAGGAGCGTGGTGGCCACGGCCAGCCTCTCTCCCACCGGGCACAAAACACCAGGGCGTGGCTCCGTTTCATCTTCGCTCTTTCATCTCCTAAAATTGTCCCACAATGCCCAAGCAGGCTGGCATGTTTTCAGCACTGAAAACCAGATGTTGCCAACTTTCCAGTGGTTGTGCTTGGTGCTTGATGCTGTTACTTTAGCAGAGTATGCACGTCATGCCTCTTGCAAAAACAGGTAGGATTTATTCCCTGAACAAGGGGCAGCTCTGTTCTCAGCCGCCTTCGTCTCCGTAGCAATGTCTAGGTCAGAATTGTTGCTGTCAGCTTCCCATGAGCCCAGGCTCAGCAGCACCCTCCATTACAAGACTCAGTCCTCTCCCAGCCACTTGCTTACC